GCGTTGCTCTGCCGGCAGCGCAGCCAAACGCGCCCGTTCCCCGCCAGGCTCCTGCCCCCGCCCCGCGGGCAGCTCTCCCTGCTGAGCTCACCCCTCCTCTCCGCTCTGCAGGCACAAGGTGCGCGCTATGCTGGTGAGCTCACGGCAACCGTGTAGTAGAAAGGTTATCATTTATAACAGAGTGTATCTGGTTTCTTAATAGCAAAGATCAGATACCTAAGAAAATCTTAACCAAAAAGCTCCAAAACAACATCACACTTTTTTAAATCCCTCGTAACAAGCCATTCCAGCTCACGTTAAGACCCAGTACACGGTCATACAGAACTTTACATCACCTTATTACAGTGATGACTTACATACGTTATCTCAAGTGTAAGTGCATCATTAGCACCGTCAAAACTGACATCAACCACACACAACCCAGCAGTGTTTTGTAGCACACTTTAGCAATAATATCTAAACATTCCAAACAGGCAGATGCAAAGAGTTTTAGCTCATCAACAAAAACCCACCACTTTGATCTTTTTATTACAGAGCCCTGAGAAGTCACCTGAAAACTAGATGCTGTCTTAGCTTTGGGATGTTACCCAAATCATCTTTGTAACAGATCTAACTCTTCCCTTGAGTACAAACAAGTCAAGCAGCACTTCGGAAATTTCTGTTTCCACACTGCTCCTTAAAGTTTACCTTGCCTCCCTCCCCTCTTCTTTCCTGAGAGGTGATTTTTTTGATACCTCCTCTACAACTGGGCACTCTCAAGTACTTTGGGATTTTCTCTTTTGAAATCCATACCTGTGTTTCAGATCTAGGCTTCTGCAGCCTCGTATTTATTTTCAGCAGAATTTATTCAAACCACAGTTACTCTATGCAGTTCACAGGAGTCCAAAGAACATTTACCAAAGTTAACATGCAAATAAAGTTTAGATGAGTGTAATCAAAACCAGGTTAACTCAAAAAGAATACAATACCATTGAACTTTAAAAAAATACTGCATGATCTGACCACAATTTAAATGACAGCTTTAGAAATCTATTGTTGGAAGACCATATAGACAGAATTCAGTATTACAAAAAATTTTAATATTTCAATCTCTTAAAACACAAATAAGAGTGTGCACAAATAGTTTCACAGAGCAAAGTTATCAGAAAGATTAAACTGCATCATGAAGTCACTGTATCTTCAGCGTCATCATCGGGCATCAAAAACCACCACTGGAATAGCACAGTTAAAGAAAAAAATAAGTGTGTTGTGGTTGAAAAATCATGGGGAAGGGGAATAAAAGAGAGACACTGTCTAAATCTAAAGTCACAAAGAAGTATTTCAAAAGCCATCTTTAATTAACCCCACAACACTTTCCTTTTCTCAAAAGGCTGAATAGTACCAACAATTCATAGCAGACCATCATGATTTATTATATCTTGCATAGAAAAATGGAAAACCAAAAGTGCCAGGAAAGAAATCGAGCTGCCAAATCACATTGCAGAGATTGTCCTATAGTAATTTGCTCTGCTGTATTGATTTTTTTGTCTTGAAGGATTGTTACATAATTACTCAAATCTTCCTTCCCTTACATACCTTCTCCCTGTCCACAGCTTCCCAAATGCATTCAAGTGCACTGGTAAAAGGATACATCTTTTTGTCCTTTTCTTGTACATTATTCTGTAGCCACATTCTCTGCATCTGATAGGATCTCTTGCCTTTATTTCATTTTCTGTATGACATTCTGATGTTATGGAGGAAGACAAAGAGAACAGGTAAACAAAAGCAGCATTGTTAACGCACAGATAACTTTCAGAAGTCAAAATAGTCAAATTCCTGTTTGTGGCAAATACAAGAGTAGTGAATCTGCATCAACAGATAAATGATACCAATATACTGTGACAAAAAAAAAAAAAAGAAAAAGCAAGCTTCACTTACATTAAGATCAAAGAGACTTCTGCTAAAATACCAATATAGTACTGCACAGAACACATTCCACACTTGACAGACTATCTACTAACGAAAATTTCACCTCAGTCCTCCAAAGCCCATATGTTTTTTCTTAGAAGACAAAGTATTTCAGAGATTCCTGAAGTGCCAACTCAAAATTGCCAATTTTTAAGTTGTTGTCTTATCTATAGGCAAGAGAGAATTTGACTTCTGTACTTTGGTAAAATCAGAGTCAGCATTTTCAATAAAACACTCAGAGATGCACTAAATAGAAGGTCCACTATTTGTACCACAAGCAGACACTGTGAAAGCATTCTCTGGAGATGGAGGAGCTCCACACAACAACACAAGGTCTAGGGAATGACTTCCACATCATTATCCATACATGCCCCATACATGTGTTATCATCAATGTGTACAAAGATCATCAGGATCCACACTGCAACCATTTGTATCTATGTAATCATCTGTATAATGACTAAGCATTATTTATCATTAAAACACTAAATTTCCAGTGACAAGTAAAAAATACCCCACATTAATGTCTTTTCTTTACCTCCACAAATGTAAATCATTGGCTGCTGCTTGGGAGGCTGAACATCCTTCTGTGAATCCATGTTCTAAACAAAAAACACACAACATGCACATCAGTTTGGGTTTTGGTAGCATTTTTTCAAGGCATACACAATCATTTCATTATCTCAATCTAAAGCTAACAGAAGATGAAAGCTCTTCCTTAAAAGCAAATACAAATTCCCTCTCTATTTGATACACAGGACATGAGACAATTCAGGTTGAAAGAGACTTCAGAAAGTCATCCAATACAACTTCTCAAAAGCAAAATAACATCAGGTTTCTCAGAGCTTTACCAATCTGGTACAGAAAACCTCCCGAGATGGAGATGGCACAACATTTTCTGTTAAACAGTGTTTTAAACATTAAAGCTCAATGAATATTGTTTTCTTTCCTCCCTCCTACCAATGTTAAGAATTTCCTTGCTGGAAACATAAAATTCAATTTCTTACATGAGTAACTCATGTTACTCATGTAACAATGGTGCCATTGTAAACAATATAAGCCTTGATATATTTTCTTCCCCTCTGATACACTAGCTAACCTAATCTACCTGTTCGTGCGTCTAAAGTATTAGAAATCCTGGGAACAGACTGTGGGTGGAAGAATAATAAGAATTAAAAACCAAAACAAAACAGAAAATCAAACAATGAGAGGCCACAGAGAAGAAATTCCACCCTCCAAATCCTAACATAGATGGGTATGATTACCAAATCAAGAGCAATAACTCAGTGCTATTCTTCAAACACCTTTTGATGCCTGATTGTTCAGACTTACTTTGAGGCAAGTATTCCTTCACAATATCAGACTAAATAGTTACATATACTCCATACACTCCAACAACTCTACCAAGCTTAAGTAATCTTATCCTAACATGCAAACTTGCTCGCAACCATGCGCTTTAAGGTGGTTACTGTACCACCTGAGAGATAGTAAACACTTTTTTCCCCACCCAATGCAAGTCTAGAGTAGACTGTATTTCCTTGCCCTTTTTTCTTGAGGCTGCTATTTTCTGTACTGCTGTTCTGTTTGACAGAGATACAAGAATTCCTAACCCTTATGCCAGTGAGTACCATGCTTGACACTTCCTTATAAGAATGGCTCTTGGATGCTTTTGCTTAACATTACAGCAAGAATTATTTCCCTAATCTTCACAGCTTGTTTCAGTACAAATTCAACTGGGAAAACTATGACATTGAAAACAGAAGGACAGACTAGACAGAAACAGTTCGTTCTTTAAGGGTCTGATCAGCACTTGACAAACCACCTTGTTAAAACTGCCATTATGACACTGCAGTTGAGAGAACTGGAAACAATTCATTAAACTCTACAGCTTTCAAGTATGCTCTACCATAACCATAGTGGCATCCCCCCGGTCTAGCAGAGAGGTATCTCTACCCATGGCAGGGGAGTGGGCCAACATGATCTAAAAGGTCCATTCCAACCCCTAAAATTCTGTTATATCAATCCACATGTTACAATCTTTTTGTGTCAGCACGTTATAGTAAGATACAGTAAGAAATAAGATATAGTAAGATATAAGGAGTCATCCATTAGCTCTGGAAAACAGCAGCCTCTTCTAGAACACTGAGCTGAACTAAGGAGGCTCATAGCTGCAGCTAAATAACTTGAGTTAGTGCTGCTCGTGCCCGGGACGGCAGCGACTCACAGTCACACGCTTCGCAGGGAGCCGCCATGGCTGAGGGGGCACCAGTGACACGGCCCTGCGGCCCGAAGCGCCGGCAGAGCCCACGCGCAGCGACGAGAGCGCAG